AGGGGTGGGCGATATGGCAAAAATATCATATCACGATTTAAAAAAAATAAAATCACGATTTCGATTTCATCACGATCTTAAATTGGAAAAAGAAAAACAGACAATTTAGACCAAAGAACCTTTCTCAACAGATTTTATTTCAAACAGTCGCAGTTTTGCCTGCATGTGCAAACAACGTAAAGTTTAAGGTAAACAACAACAACATCCTAATGAAGTGCACTCTTGCAAAAGTAGTAACAGAAAGTAAAATATCAATCAAAGACATTACTGACAGTCATTTAAACAGGATTTATTTATCAAAACACTAAATAGCTTATTGAAACGCAAAAATACAAACTAAAGTGACTGTGGTTCTCTTTTAGTGCAACAGTTGCTAGTGCTAGTGCTTTAGTGCTTCCTCTTCAGGTGATTAAACAGGTTCGTCGTGTTACCACCCGACGTGCGAACGGTTTCTGTGCAAACTTTGCAGATTACATTTGCTTGCGCTTGATCAGTTGCGGAAAATCCAAACCAATTCCATATAATGGAGGTGGAATTTTTTTTAGCGACCAACTCCGTTTGGCTTTCAGCCATCGCTCTCCATGTGCTACCGCTACACACACAAACAAGGAGGCGGGTAGGAAAGCGCGTCACTGCCCGTAATTCGCTATGATTGGTCGGTCAGGTTGACGACGTCAATATGTCTGGTGCGTCGGTGCATCAGCATAGAACTGCAATTTATAGAATGTGCCCTAGACGATCCCACGATCTCTGCAGTTTGAAAGATCGTCTTCACGTTGTAATCCTTCACGATCTAATATCGTCATATCGCCCACCCCTATATTAATGCAAATATTGCAAATATATTTTAAGTGGTTCTGACATCCTTTTAACAGTATTCAATTATGAATTGTCATTATTATTATTATTGTTTTAACATTACATTATTATTACAATTGTTATAATTATTGTTATTATAATTAGCATTGTAAGTTCTCTTTCTAGTCTTACTGATGGGATTGCTGAAAAAAAGCAATCCCACAATATGTTGTCAGTTCACAAAATTTTCCTCCGCCAACTTTTTTGACGTGCCACTAGTCCCACTAACTCTAACCCTTTGTTGCAAAAACTCTGTTCAAATCTCAAAACGTGCACCTCAATGAGGACATTACGGACATTACTTTTCTCAGCGCGATGTCTCCTAATTTCTGAAATAACAAACATTTTGTCAGCTTTTTTCCTATGAAAATGAATGGAGAGAATGTTAAAATCCTCAGAACTTTTTGAACTACTTCAGCATACTTTCAGGTAGAGACGTCATTTAAACTTTAAACGGGTCCCGAGACTTTCAGCTGTCTTATGTGTATTTGGCTTTTTGATATCTTTTATAGTTTTTGATTCGCAGTTTAAGTTTTATGCTTTTTCTGACAGTTTTTGAGTTTATAATGGGAGTCTATGGGAGGAGGTTGGAGTGGATGACATCACAGCTAGAGTGGGAGAAGGGCTGAAACTGCTTTAAGACATTTTGTTTGACTTGTCCTCACAGCCAACAATTTCACTCTTCACACATCATTTTTTCCCAGAACGTAGGCAAATTTATCTTCTTTCAGACAACGTGTTTACCAAAGCACAGAGACTCGCACAATTTGAACTATGCCCTTCAAATGGGCGGGAGTACCATCCATCTGCCCCATTTCTCTCATGCTGGTTCAAATCAGCTGATTAGAGACTCCTCTGATGTCTGTGGTGTTTATCAACCACTTTACTGACTTTTCTGCCAAAGTCCCGCTACATGCTGCTCCAACACTAAATACAAGACAATGATTTACACACATTTCAACAGTTTTCACTGGAAATATGTTTCAGTACAGTGTTAGTCCTGAAACATTGGGCAATTAATTTCACTTTGTTATTCTAACTGACACACAAACAGACAGGCCGACTGTTGGACAGAGTTAGTTGTAGCTCTGTCTTTAGCAGCCAGCGACACAGTTTAGCTTCAGCTTGGGCAGAAGCAGCGCTCCCACTGCAATTTCTCCAGAAACTGCATTGTGTAGGTATTATCTTCTTATTGTTATTAGTTTTATTTTTAGTCTTATTGTTAATATACATCTTCATGTGGAACCTTCATTATGCTTTGTACACTTCCCCCTCTCTCTCTCTCATCAATGATTTTCATCTACATATTTCACTCTTCACACAGATTGAGTTTCTGCAGGTTGTCAAGGATCAGCTGTGATTTTCTGGCCTCGGTTCTGAAGTCCAACCCCTCCCATCTGAGACACCTGGACCTGACAGGAAACCACCTGCAGGATTCAGACGTGAAGGATCTGTATGATCTTGTGGAGAGTCCCGACTGTAGACTGGAGACTCTGAGGTCAGTAGAGGGATGGAGTCAGTCCATGGTACTTTCAGCAGTGTTGTACTAAACACAGTATCAGAGCAAAGATGTCTCAGTGGAGTCAGACAGTCTGATGTCAGAGGGCTCTGATAGGAAAAGACTCTGCAGCCGACAGAGATGGAGTATAAGGTTTCAGGAGGTCAGACAGGTATGGAAGAGAGAGTCCATGTAGAACTTTGTACATCATTAAAAGCACCTTAAAGTCTGATCTGATGTGGACAGGAAGCCAGTGAAGGGAAGATAAAACTGGTCAAATTTTCTGGGTGTAGTTGAAATTGTAGCTGCAGCTCTGAACCTATAATCACTCAATAATCAAGTCTCGATGGAACAAAGACGTGAATTAGGATTTCAGCATCAGTCTTAGACATAAAAGACTGAATCTTAGCTCTGTTACGTAGGTGAAAGAAGGCGGTCTCCATGACAACTTTAACGTGCTGAGAGGGTAGGATCGAATGTGACGCCCAGATTCTTGGCTGTCAGACTGTGAGAAATCACACAGTTGTGGAGAGTCACTGTGACTCGATCAAGACGACTGTTGTGTTAATGTCTAAAGCTGCTAACTGTTGTCTGTCTGCTTCTCTCCACAGATGGAGAAACTATACAAATGAGACTGAAGAGGACAGTGTGTGTGTGTGTGTGTTTGTGTGTATGTGAAGCAGTGATGACTCTGCAGTCTAAACTGATCTGAGTCACACACACAGTCCAGTCCACCATCCTCCCTGTGTGACTCCCCCCATGAAAATCAAGTGTTAATTTGTACATATGATGTTTTTATATTGTTGGGACTTGTCATTCAAGAGACCATATGTTTCTTTGCTCCACTGGACAAAGGAACTCACACTCCACAGTTCCTCACCGTTCACACCTGGGGATGACCCTTCCCCCAACGGACCTTACTGGCCAGCCAGTGTGGGTCAGCGTGTGACGTGTGACCCCCAAGGGTGTCACCAAACAAAACCAGATCTCTGGCCCTCTTCTCTCTCTGTCTTCTCCCTCGGCTTGCTCTGGAGAGCAGCTCCAGCTCTCTCCTCTCGGTTCTTCAAAGGGCAACAAGGCCCCAGCCCAGGTCAGCTCTGCTACCTGAGAAACCAGCTCTCTCACCGGCCTGCTGCCAGCAGCCTGCAACCGCTCTTCTCCTCAAGAGCAGCGACCTGCTTCAGATTAACTGTGAGTGAACCAAATCCTCTTCAGAATCAGCAGCTACGACACAAGGCCAGCTGGTTTTCCAAGCAACAGGAGTCGTAGCAGAGTTAGCATGGAACAGCTAACTCTGTGAGGAGAACAAAGGAGATAACCGCAAAGCAACACAGCCAGACAGGACTTTACTCCACCAGGAAACCTCCCAACTCACTGGACTTTACACCAACACTGGAAAGGACCTCTTTGCTTGTTCCAAGGACTGGGTAACGTTAACTGACTGGGCCTAACCTTTCCCAGCACAGCATAGCACAGCACAGCATAACTAAGCAGCAGAAGTCTTAACTTTGTTAATGTACTTGTTGATTGATGTCTTGTTGTTGTAATGTTCATGAGGTAGAGCTCAGACCCAAGAATATGTTACAAGACATATCCACACATCCGTACATTAGCTATAGCACTTATCCTTATAGGGTCGCGGGGGGGGGGGCGGCGCGGGGGGGGGGGGGGGCTGGAGCCAATCCCAGCTGACATTGGGCGAGGGCGGGGTTCACTCTGGACAGGTCGATAAAACATATGATGAGTGAAATAATCATCAACACCATGACTGAGTGTTTCTACCTTGAACTGCAGTGAACCAATGACAGTCTCAGAACAACAGACTTAGACAGCCAGGGTTTCATACGTCACAAACCTAAGGAACCAATCCTGTCAGTTTGTGGGGACGGGGGCGGGGCTAAATAAATGTAAATAAGTAAGTAAGTAAAGATGTATTTATACAGCAACATTCACAGATAAAAATCATAAAGTGCTTTGCATCAGAAAATTTACAAAAGTTCAAGAAATAGGACAAAAAAAGCAATAACATAAATAAAGTGCAGTAAAATAAAAAGGAGGTATTCATACAGACTGACCAAAAGCTTATCTGTCAGTACAGAGAGAGAGTTAGCATTAGCACAATTGCTAACACCGTGTAACAACTGTGCGTTTGATCCGTCTGCTAGTCTCTGGTTCTGGTCTCAGACTCCTCTGAGTCTGGGTCTGACTGAGGCTCAAACGTGTGGCTGAGTCTCTCTGATGTTTCCTCCTCTCACCATCTTGATGCTCTCTGCTCTTTCACCTGTCCACCTGGAGCCAGCAGGTGGTGGGCGGGGCTCATGGCCTGATCCATATTTCTCAATCAGGAAGTAAGAGGAGATGTGACTTTTTATGTGTGAAAATCAAAACAAAATATTAGTCACAGCAGAGGATTTTTGATAAGTGCCATACAAACAAAATGTTTTCTTATCTGCCGTTCTGCCTGTTCATGTTTATACTGTACACATCTGACCTGCACCTTGTACACGTTTATATCCAGGTGTTTATTAAGTATATTATGTCTAATACCAGCACTTTCCTTCTTCCTCCTTCATTGTAATTTATTCATCTCTGTAAGTAGAGTATGTGCATTCCTATACTGTTTGCACTGAGACAGTTGGACAATAAAGTTGAATGTAATCTAAAAATGATTTTAAAAATAAAGCACAGTTCATATCTAAACCTGACAGATTTTAATTGAACTGAATCAGAAACACTTTTATACTTCAGCTGTTGAAAATGTTTCCAAGTTCTCTTTCATATCTTTATCTATCTTTTCTGTATATGTAAACTTTGAGACATATTCTGAGATTTGAGACACACACAAGTTTATGTGATATAGATTCAGTCTGAGATATGAGACACATTGTATGGAAATATCTGTTTGATGCTGAATGTCAATAAAAAAAAAGGTAAAAGAAAATGTTTCCAAGTTTTAGTTCAGAGATTTCCGACAGTCACCTGAAGGCAGCAGGGTTCATTACTCCTGGACCTGAACAGTTCTGTAAGTGCAGAAGTGATAAGTCCCTCTGCTGTTTGGTGACACCTGGTGGTGATGGAGAAATCTGCAATGTGGTTTCACACTTTAATGGACCACTTTAATGGAGCAAAGTTTAACCTGTTTCAGCCTGGAAGGACCACGTGTCCCGCAGAGGACAATAGTCATTAATCTAATCTAATTTATTCCATAGCTCTGATTGTCACTGGCATAGACACATAATAACTGTCAGTCACCGCTGTTATTATAGGACTTCGATCATTTATATTAACGTCTAACAACTTATAATCTTATGGTCCAACTTTTGTTTGTCAAATCTACCACTTCCAAGTCTTTCCGTTTCCTTAAATTTAACTCAGGAAGAAACTTTATTCCAAGTGAGACATGAATCATGACATCAATAGAAGTAGCGGGAAAAATTGTTTCACATTCAATACGAACAATATTTTAAACATTTCTAACCTTCCAGAAACAGAATTTCAAAACATTTTGTATATCTGAATATTAGTTTTTCTATGGCTCGTTTCTTAGGTGTGATTAGAACCTCAAACAGCTTTTAAAGTCAAACAATAGACACAACTCTGCAGATTAAAAACATTAAAAAAAACAAGTTTAATGAGCTATACAAAGTGAATCCTGCAGAAATTATATACAGATGTACATTTAAATGCCCCTGAGCATGAGTGGAGGCAGCAAACAGAGCCATTCATCATCTTCAATCATCCTCCTCCTCCTCCTCAGCAGGCAGCGGTCTGGACCTGCAGACGACAAAATAAACACTGAGGGAAAGAAAACTAACAGTGTCACAGACTGACGCTTTAAGGAAAGGTTTTATCTTGGTGACATCTTATTAACACACTCACATCAGTACAACTGTGGTTAGGAGACAGTAGTGTGTGTGGGGAACGAGTAAATTCCAGATTCTCCACAGAAACTACATGTGTAATCAGATCATATTTTTTGTCAAATTCAAGTTTCAGTTTTCATACGTTACAGACACCAAAGATTTTAATTACCTAAATAAACCAAGTTCATTCAATCTGAGGATCTAGTTCAATGAACTGCAGCTTAACAAAACACATGAAAACAGACAAATTCAGAAAACATCAATTTGAGAACACATGAGCTGCAGACACTCGCAACACAACAACCAAATACAAATGCACTGCAAGCAGCACAGACGACGTTAGTGTTTCCAGGGGACACTAAAAAGTGATGCACCTGGCTGTGACACACTTGTTGCTAAATTCATTTAACTTAAAAACTCACAAAGCTTTGAACAACTACTGTGTCCCCACCGGGTTCATCCCCTTGAAACACTAATGTTGTGTTTTCAAACTGATGAAGCCGTTTTCTGAAATTGTATTTTGTCTGTTTGCACGTGTTCTCTTAAAAAAGGAGCTATTTAAGTTTTCCCACTGCCACCTAGCCAACATTAGCATCAACAGCTGTTTACTTACCAGTCCAGAAGAAACGTTGCAAGTTCTGCATCAAACTTCATTCCTTTACTCAGCTGTCTCCAGGAGTGGAAACGATCCCTCTTGTTTTGCTTCTACTTCTATCATGTCCTTTATTCAACTGAAGTTAGCATGCTAACTAGCTAGCCCCAGCCTGTCTCATCACTTTCCAATAGAGTCACTGTAGCATCCAGTCTTCCCTGAAGAAGCCGCTGCTTAGAGGACATATTACAACCTCTTGTCTTGTAAACATGATGGCTGAAGCTCGTGGTAAGACTGGTAAGTAAACAGCTGTTAATGCTAATGCTAGCTACGTAGCAATAGCAAAATTTGCAAATAGCTCCTTTAAGTTGCAGTTTGTTGATCTCTTAAAAAACAAGCAAATACAGAAACGTTGTAAATCACCCAGAACAAAGGAAATTAGTTAGAAATGGTGAAGAAATGCGAACGCGTCCAAACACACATGACAGTGTTTGTTGCTCATGAAGTTACAAAGCAACCTCTCTGTCAGTGGTGCTGGAAAGGATCAATCAATAGAAGTTTCTTTTGTTTTGGAGTATTAATTGGGTAAATAATAAATAAACATCATAACTAACAACGTAATATAATATAAATATAAATCTGAATCATGCAGTCAGATAAAAACATTTCTTCTTGCTTCCTGCATCTTGTTTCTCTTCTGAGCGACCTGCAGAGTTTCTGTTCTGATTGATTTGTTTCAAATGATGTTCTTCTTCATTTGTTTTAAGTGTGTTGAGTTCAGAGCCGCCATGAACAAGCAGCTGCTTCCACAGCTACTGATGAATGAGGCTTCTGCTATTAGTGACGCACCAACTTGAATTCAAGTCTGCTCGACAGGATTACCTGGTCAGTAAACGAGACCTCAGCTCTCAAGTGTTTAAATTTGAGTTTTAATTTGAGGTTAAAGTCACAACCAACTGTTCCAAGACCAGACATGGAGTTTCAAAACCTCCAGGCTGATGTCCAACTGCATTTGATCTATAGGTAAAGGTTCAATGGCCAACAACATGATGAGCCTGATAGTGAAATTCAATGGGCTGACATACTTCCTGCTGGCCTTTGACATCCCGCTGCCTCCGGCCTCCTCGTCATCCTCAACCTCCTGGGGTCTCTGGTTCTCCTTCTCTGGCTTCCTGGGGGGACCACCGAAGAAGTCCCCGATGCCCTTCTGCCAGGTCGGGGTGGGACGAGGACACACTGGGTTACCACCAGCATATTTGTTCTTGGCTGTAAATAAAAAAAAATAAAATAAAATAAAATAAAACCATAACCTCAGTTGTGTCATGTGATGAGCAGTGAATTTACTGAGTGGTGTGTCTGTGGTCAAACTGACTGACCAGGTGTCGAGGACTGGCTACTGCAGGAGGAGGAGTTCGCTGAACTGGAGCCCAGAGACTTCCTGGGAGCAGAAGCTGCAACAGCTGCAAATAAAGAAATAAAAATCAAACCCTTAGGACTGGATGTGTGACAAAACATCAAAGAAAACAAACTGGATCTAGGACAGCCTTATCAGATAGGGGAAATCATTAAGATAACACTTCATTGCACCTGTGGGGAAACTGGGTTGTGAAAGAATGAATGAAAAGCAGATTTGAGTTTGATATAACATTACAAAAAGGAAACAGTGAGTTAATGAGCCTTTAAGAAAAAACCTTGTTTAAAAAACAAACGAGGCTGCAGTGTGAGAATGAGCACTGTCTGCATGTATGCACTGTCTAAATGGACATTTAAAGTTTTAAAATATCAGTTTTTATTAATTTAAGGGCTGAACGACAGACCAGCTGTATGCCGAATTCACCAAAAGAGCATGAGAGTCAATAAAAAACTGTTCATTATGTCCCGTCACACATGTACTTCGATGCTAAGCAAGATAACATTGAATTATGTAACTTTTTAATGGGGTTTGGTGATACGTCCGCATAAAGCCGCACTGAGGCGCTCAAAACTGGCGCCAGTTTGCTGAAAGCAAGACGCTACTGTCTGGAAAGACTGAGTATAATGTCCCCTTGTCAGGTGGACGGCAGCATCAAACTACAGCTACCACTTTTAGGCGACAACACGACTTGGATTTGTGTTTCGTTTAGTTTTTTTTTTTTAAAGATTGCTCCTCGACTGTTCAGGAAGGACGGACAACGCAGCGTCCGTATTGGCGGGAGGCTGTAACTGGAAAGACTGATTCTGGATTTAACCGATAACAAGCTCCTACTGCACTCACATGCTAATATTTAGGTTAGCTTTAAAAACACGGGATCACAGTGTTAAAGATTTGTGCGGGGCAAACGATCATGTCGCTTTGTTTGGCTTTTTTTGAGTGCGCCCCGAGCCCGCCAGACTACATAACAAAACAGCTACATTCCTGCTCAAATTAGCGATTTGTCGCTGAATTCGTAATAAATGACGGTAATTTGTAACTGTACCTTTTCGGTATGATGCGGGAACACTGTCGGCTTTAGTCCTCACCATTTTAGCAATAAGCTGTAACTGGTAGGTGATGTTTCAGCACCAAATACAATGACAGAAGTGAATGAAGTGGAGTCCCGCCTTGGTTTAAAAAGCACAAGGGGTGGGGCGGGAGATTTCTTCTTCGGGTGCTTCTGTTCTGGCAGAGGAGACACGGCGATGAGGCAACGCTGCCCTCTTCAGGTGGATTGGTATAACTACAGCATTTACCACCCACAGTGCTACAAGCTGCAACACACTGTTAACACACTGTACACACAACGTGAACACTGGTCAGACTCAAAAGCAACTAGAATATGTCACTACGGACTCCAGGAAATAATAGTAATATGCTGTTTTCACCATTTTCTAACACTGATTCGATTATTAATGAAAATAATTGTTGGTTAAAACCTTACAATATAAACTAAAACTGTTCAGTTTCAAAACCTAAATTCTGACAGAATTCCTCAACAGGACCAGGACCAAGATGGAGGATTGAGGACCAGACATAGTTGATATTCGACAATAAATGTTCCATTAATCAAATTATATCTAGAAATAGAGTAAACCCGGGGTCTTTGAGGGGACTTAATTGATTGATAAAAATATGATATTTTGTTATTGATTAAACTAGTCGACAGTAAATACAAGTAGAGCTAAAATCATCAGCTGATAGACGAAAAATGAATTGGCAACTACTCTGATATTCACTTACATTTTTCATGTAAAAATACCAGACGTTTCATAATAATTTATTTTTGATCATTTTGAGGTTTGGACAAAACAAACACTGTGAAGGTGTCACCTTAGGGTCCCAGAAATGTGCAGTATAAGTATAAAGTTGAACGAAAACAAAATACTCCTGTAAACTACCTCAACTTTGTAAAAAACAAATTTGTGCTGAACAATAAAGTCACAATAAAAAGTTTCTCCTTTTGGTCCCTCGTGTGTCTCCGTAGTGGCGGTTTCTCGGCTGCAGGCGGATCAAAAACAAAAACAGCTTCAAGAACTTTAGTTTAATTAATATAACTGTCGGGGTGAGTGTGACACCGTTTACTGAAAAGCTTTAAACATGTGATGACCTAACTAATGGTTACTGGTTGTTTGCTGTCGGTTAACGTGTCGTTCGTGTCTGTTCGGTAACTTTTAAACTCGGTGTTTTCTGTTGTAGCTAGCGCTGACTGATAGCTGCCGTTAACTAACTTAACCGCCGGTTTACTCGTTAAACTCACCAAGTGCTGTTTGGATACACGAACTAGTGAGCTGGTTAGTTAACGTAGGTAGTTGCCAGTGTTTTGAAAGTTATCAAGTTAAATTTTGACTATCGAAAACACCCAGGTGACATCTGCAGGTCTTAAAAAGGCTTCTGTTTACAAAAAACGGCCTTAAAAGTCTTAAAATGTCTCTAATTTAATTTACAAAGGTCTTAAATGTTTTTTTTGAGTCTGCTAAAGGCTGTAAAGTTGCTCATAAAATAGTTTATAATTGTAAAACTGTCTGGAAAATGTCCAATACCGCTGTTACAGAGTTTATATGAAACTCATACCTGAACCTTGAATTAATTAGTTATTGTTTAATTGGTTAATTTATCCATCCATCGTCTCCTGTATCCGGGGCCAGGTCGCTGGTTAGGAATAGAGGGTTAGATATCAACAGATAAGTCAGTGCAGATAAAAACTATAAAGCCTGAAAGCACTTGTTGTTTCAGTCTGTCAATGTGAAAAACTTCCTGAACGCAGAAAAAGAGAGGAATACAAAATGTCACCGTTTCATTATTGATTATTCTGCTGATTAGTTTTCTTGAATAATCATTTTGTCTATAAATATCTGAAAGTAGTTATAGTTTCCCACAGCCCAGTCTGAGATAGATAGATAGATCAATAGATAGATACTTTATTTATCCCCTATTGGAAATTCATGTGTCCAGTAGCTCATTAGTAGTAATAATAATAATAGTTAATAATCATTGATAATAATTAAATTAGTCTACTTCCTTTGGCTGAAGTGTTATACAGCCTGATGGGAGTGGGCCAACGTTAAACCTCAGAGATAATTAGTTTACAGTCATACATGACAAGGAAAAGGATGCCATCGTCACGTCTGAGCAGCTGGAACCATGTGTTTGTCTCCAGGTGTTGCCATGGAGGAGGTGACCCGCCTGGTGTCCACAGGAGACTGTGTGAAGGTCTGGGATGCGGTTTCCATGGCGCCGCTGGAGCAGTTTAACCCCCACAGCGTCAGCCACCCTGTGGCACAGGCCTGCTGGAGCTCCAACAGTATCCTGATGGATGGAGCTGTTCATGTGTTTTTTATCAGCTCAGTAACAAGATCATAAAAACACTAAAGACCTTGAACTGGTAATTAATCAATACACTTTGGTACATAAATCACATATTCTGAATATTTTCATAACTGATTAATTTGTTGATTAATTGTTTGGTCTGTTACATGTAAGAAATTAGTAGAATATGCCTCACAGTTTCCTAAATCTGGGGGTGATGTCTCATTCCTTCAGAGCAACAATCCAGAGAAGTAAAGATGTTCAGTTTATTACCAGGAAAAAGAAAGAAACAGTAAATTCTCACATATGAGAAGCTGCAACCAAAAAACGGTTCATGTTTTTGTCTGAATCAACAGTTTTATGTCGAAGTTTCTGCTGTAGCTCCATGTCAGCGTTTTCCAAAATAACAGAAGCTCATTAGAGATGAGATGAAAACAAATATGGACCAGAACAAGCCTCTAAACATCTGATCCAGATGTTGTGGAGCCAGACAGCAGCTCTGGTGTTTATTAATATGTGGTAATTAAAGGATGAAGCACCTTGACGAGCTCTTTCAGACCACTACCTGGTCAGCGCCAGCACCAGCGGAGACAAACTGGTGGTGTCCAGCCTCAAGGCGACTCCAGCTCCAGTGGTGGAACTGGCCGAAGGGGTGAGTGCACAGCTTCATCACCACTGCAACATCCACTCAGTGTCCACTTTAATAGGCACAGCTGTACTAGGCCATTACAGCTGTTCTGATTATGATGTCACAGAGGCGTCTAGGCTCATAGATAGTGATGGTGTTGTACTGAACTGAATCTTCTGTTTACACACATTAGTTGAGGGTCACATAATGTGAACTGTCTGCTGCTAATTGAAAGTGAAGGTGCAGAAGCCAAAGAGAGGTTGAGAGAGAATCATAGTTGATTACCTGTGTCACAGGTGGGTAAATGAACATGTTTACCTGCAGCCTGAACTCACTGCAGATCACTAACGACTGTTGTTTGTTACCGTCTGTTCAGAAAAAGCAGACTCGTGTGTGTCTGAGTTCCTCGTCTCAGTTTCTGGTCAGTGGAGGTCTGGATCACTGTGTTCACATCTGGGACCTGAAGACCAAGAGACTGCACCGCTCCCTCAAGGTAAGACTGGACTCAGGACAGGTGTGGATCCTGTGAAGGTTACAGGCTCTCCGGGTCTCCAGTCTCCCTCTTGTCTCGTCTTTCAGGACCATAAAGAGGAGGTGACCTGCGTGTCCTTCAACGCCAACGACAGCTGCATCGCCTCCGGCTCCACCAGCGGAGATCTGGTCCTCCACAGTCTGACCACCAACCTGTCCAGCAAAGCCTTCGGCCACGGCAGCAACCAGGTGAGGCGCTCTGCTGCACATTTAAAACATGCAGTTTGACAGTTTCACTCTGTCTTTGAATCTTCTTCATTTACCGTTTAATTATGGTTTCATTTTTGATAAATAACTGTCCTGAAACGATAAATGATTAATAATTATAAAACCAGCAGATCAATATTCAATCCATAAATAAAAATAATAATTACCTGCAGCCCTAGTCTGGATTTTTTTGGACATGATATCTCAGTAACACCTGCAGGTAAAAACATTCATACAATCATGAACTGATCAGAATTTGGGGGTCAAAGGTCAAGGTCAGTGTGACCTCACAAAACACCATTAGTGAAGACTTCACACAGATGGTTCATATTTTCTGACTCTGGACTCTGTAACCTGGAACTAGTCTGTGTGGCGGAGGGATGTTTGTGATTCTCTTCCTGTTGTTTTACCACTGAAGTGAAAACGTCTCAGACTAACAGAAGCTGTTTGACCTTCAGCCCGTCCACGACCTGCGGCTGTCCGCTCTGAAGCGCTCCCTGCTGGGCAGCGTGTCCGACAGCGGCACCGTGGTCTTGTGGGACTCCAACACCCAGAAGGAGCTCCACGTCTTCGACAGCGCCCACAAAGCCCCGGGCTCCGGCCTGGCCTTCTCCCCCGCCAGCGAGCTGCTGGTCGTCAGCGTCGGCCTGGACAAGAAGATCGTCTGCTACGACACGGCCAGCAAGATGTAAGAGCGAGCGCCGCTGTGTCCCAGCACACAGCGACACTGTGAAGGTTTATATATGTCTGATTCAACCAGGTGAGGATGATGATGATGATGATGATGAGGGTTATAATGTCCGCTGCCGTCTCCATGGATTTATTTTTTTCCAGTCAGAGCGGCAGCCATTTTGTTTTCAGGTTGTCCGTCTGTATCAGTCTCATGGACACGGTGTCTCAGTGACACCTTGAAGGAACAGGCACAAACATTCACCAGGACTCGAGGATGAACTGATCAAAGGTCAAAGGTCAAGGTCATGGTGACCTCACAAAACACAGTTTTGGCCTTGTGAATATGATATCTCAGGAACGCTTTGAGGTGTTTTCTTCAATTTTGGACTGAAGGATGAATTTGATTTTGCTGGCTAAAGGTCAAAGGTCACAGTGATCTCACATTTGTGTGAATTCAATATATCTGTAATAACAAAAGGGAATTTCATTACTTCTGACACACTGTGACCTCACAAAATACATTTTTGGTTAGATTTTGGTGGCTAAAGGTCAAAGGTCACGGCCTCAGAAAACACTTTTTAGCCATTACTCAGTGGCGGGGGCAGACAACCACGAGGAGGTGATTCTATTTATGAATAAACACGTAACACACCTGACAACAAACAAACAAACACACAGATTCATCCCGACGTGAAACACGAAGAAATAAACTATAAACATGTAAAAGACAGTGAAACAGAAACATGACGCAGGTTAAAAACATTCAGACTCATTTTGTCTCTGTGTCTCTGCAGCGTCCTCAGGTCGATCCGGACGGACACTCCTCTGACCTCGGTGGACTTCACCCTGGACGGCACCGGCCTGGTGGTCGGATCCACTCAGGGGAAGATCTACCAGTACGACCTGAGGAACTCCAGCGCCCCCACCAGGGTCACTGTGGCACATAAAACCTCCGTCACCTGCCTTCGTTTCCAGAGCAACACCAACAGAAACAAGGTGCCAACAGACGAGTCCGTAACCACAGACACATCGTTCACTCAGTCACTCAGACGTCCGACCAAAGATATTTAACCTTTGACCTTTGACTCACCTGTTTCTGTCGCACATTTCTAAATTCATCGTCATCATCGTTTACATGGTCTGTCTCTCTCTCTCTGTCTCTCTCTCTCTGTCTCTCTCTGTCTCTCTCTCTCTGTCTCTGTCTCTCTCTCTGTCTCTCTCTCTCTGTCTCTCTCTGTCTCTCTCTCTCTGTCTCTCTGTCTCTCTCTCTGTCTCTCTCTCTCTCTGTCTGTCTCTCTCTGTCTCTCTGTTTCTCTCTCTGTCTCTCTCTGTCTCTCTCTCTCTCTCTGTCTCTCTCTCTCTCTGTCTGTCTCTCTCTGTCTCTCTCTCTGTCTCTCTCTGTCTCTCTCTCTCTGTCTCTCTCTCTCTGTCTCTCTCTCTGTCTCTCTCTGTCTCTCTGTCTCTCTCTCTGTCTCTCTCTCTCTGTCTCTCTCTCTGTCTCTCTCTCTGTCTCTCTCTGTCTCTCTCTGTCTCTGTCCCTCTCTCCCTCCCAGTCTAGTAAACTGGGCTCCTCCAAGATCACCAGTACTAAGAGATCCTCAACCAAAGTGTCCAGCAACCAGCCAGACCCCGCCCCCCACAGACAGGTGATGGGTACAGGTGGGTTAACCTGAGGACATGTCACATTATTTTGTGTGATGTTAATCTCCAGTACGACTCTTGTCCACATGTACTGTATAAATGTGCAGTGAACACAGTGGTGTGTCAGCAGGGGGCGCTGCAGCGGAGGTGATGTCCCGGGAGGCTGAAGGTCATCAGGGGTCAGAGCAGCCGCCAGCTGTGGAGAAGTTCAGCAGCGTTGGACGGAACAGTCTGGACGTCTTCTCTCCTGCACGAGAAGGTCAGAGACTTTCATCTCATCAGGAGAAAAATCTATTTAAATGATTTCAGCTTAAAACTGCAACTTAACAAACAGTGAAGGGGTGTGAAAACTTTCTGAACGCTCTGTTTGTGAATGTTAGAAACATTTGTTGATATAATGTCGTCCAGTAAAACCACTCAATAATAAACATGTGCTTTATTCAGGGTCTTTTTGTTGGTATTTAATGTCGTACAGAATCTAATTAACCACTAATACAGCTGAACAAAGACAACGTCCCCCCTCCCTCCTTGTTCTGCCCCATCACTGTCTAACTGCACCGTGTTTGTAATCAGACGCTTTAAACAGATAAAAACATCAAACTCAAGAAAAAGAACAGAATTAAATTAAACAAAAAGAATGAATCTAAATAAATTAAAGAATTACAAATAGATAAATAGATAATATATAATATGGGGTCAGTTTTACAAAACTGCAGCGTCCATTTTTATTCCTCTGCGCCGGCGACAGTCAGAGCGGCAGCCATATTGTTTTCAGGTTGTCCCTCCGACCGTCTCATTCTCGTGGACACGATGTCTCAGTAACACCTTAATATGAAGTCACACTCTCAAGTTGCATGTTCCTTTTTTAATGTGATAATGTGAAATATACGTCTGTGAATTATCTGCCTCAACTTGTATGAGTCTATTTTTGTACACAGGTCTCTCTTGAAAAAGAAATCCCAATAAGACGATCTGCTTAAAGGATTTAATAACAATAATAATAATAATAATAAAAAGTAAATATTAGAAACGTCTGTTGGTTTAATGTAATCCAGTCCAACACCAGTCAGTAATGAACATATGATTGAATTTACACATTTCTGACGACTTTCAAAGGAAGAACTGATGTTGTATTAAACTGCATCAGCCTGCACAGCTGCAGCTACTGAGGTGCAAATAACAACTGAATCACAAACTGCAGCTGCTGAACCAAAGGAGGAAAAATCCAAACATTTCACACAGGAAAACAAACTTGATAAAAATCAAAAAAAAATCTCAGAAAAACAAGGATCGGAGAACTGTTCTCCAGTTTATTGAGTGATGATGTTTCCAGGGAGTTTATGTTTTCTCACATAAATGTCTGTGAGACGACGACACTCGAACACATCGTAACCCTCAGCTTGTCCCTCTGTCTCAGACTCGAGGACACCGGGGACGACTGGAGACACGCCGTTTGGAAGAACACACGGTACGACGGTCGGACCGCTGTTGTTTTGAATGATGCTGCTGGTTCTGGACTAACCTGGATGCTCTGTTTCCATAGTTACCAGTTTGGAGATGTTGTCCAGACAGGGCGAGGGTCAGCAGGTCGTCGGCCGGGCGAGTCTGGACATCTTCTCTCCGGTCAGAGAAGGTCAGACCTCCTCACTCTGGATTTAAAGTTACCCTGATACTATGAACAGAAGTATGATGACGTCCTGAAGTTCACTTTGACATGCACTTAAACAACCAGGTGAAGAAACCAGGTGTTACTGTCTGAGGACGACGAGACTGAATTCCACCAATATGAACATTTAGATTTGTAGAAGCTGCTTGTCGTTAGTTTGAACTCATGTAAAATGATTTCCTCTTTCATCCACTCAGCTGCTCCCACTCTCCTTGTCTGCTTCCTGTGTGATGCTCATGCCTCCATCTTTCTCCAGGGGAAATCTACCTGGAGAAATCAGGTGTCACAAAGTCCCACCCCAAATTTTTATTCCTCAGTGCCGGCGACAGTCAGAGCAGCCATTTTGTTTTCAGGTCGTCTGTCCGTCCGTCTCATTCTCGTGGACACGATGTCTCAGTAACGTCTTGACAGAACGTCTTCAAATTTGGCTCAAGTATTCACTAGGACTCAAGGAGGAACTGATTAGATTTTGGTGGCTAAAGGTCAAAGGTCAAGGTCACAATAACCTCACAAAACACAGTTTTGGCCTTGTGAACGTGATGTATCTGTATCACCTTGAGGAATTTCTCAAGATTTGGTAAAAAACATTCACCTGGACAAACTGATTAGATTTAGGTGTTCAAAGGTCAAAGGTCAATGTGACTTCACTAAACACTTTTTAGCCATTAAGACTTCACACAGTAATTTACCTGAAACTAGTCTGAGTGGCGGAGGGATACAGTCACGAGGTGATTCTAGTTTCTTCCTGACGTGTTGTGGAATAATCTGTAATAAAGTGTCACCTGGTGATTGAAGTACATGTATAACACGTGTAATAACTGTGATGAGCGTCAGTGATTCCTGCGTCTGTGTCAGACTCTCACTCAGGGGCCAACTCTCATCGTAAGACCCCCCTGGGAACGCCCCTGGTCGCCTCAGCCGGTCGATGCTACAGCCCGCTGTCCGTCTTCCAGACCCCGCCGATCAAAGAAGAAGAGCCGGTCACTGCTGCAGCTGCTGAACCATGTGACCCCAGGAAGGTGCTGACCTCTGACCTCTGATTATAAAACATTTAAACTCTGAACAGTATCTGCAGGTGTAGTCAATGTCTGTAAATACAAGAGGAAACATGAAGCTCATCACCATGGAAACTGTGACTCTGTTTCATCACTGTGCTTCTTCATTGACAGTCTGACAAGACCAGCAGCTCCAGCCTGGAGGGGGCGGATCAGACCACACCCACATCCTCCCAGCAGACCAATCACAGCCAGCCGGCCCCGCCCTTCTTCACTCCGGAGCCCAGCCTCCGGAGAGCCAACGGTATTCAAGCCCAGCTGAGCTACGACTCACCTGTCCACGGAGCTCCGCCCACCGCAGCAGCAGGTCAGTCGGGTTTGATTCCCACAGTGTCGACACAAACAGAACTGTTTCCATAGAAACTCAGAGTTCACCACATCATCTTTAGCACCGCCGCCTGCTCTCCACCTCAGCTGGTTTTCCCGCTCTTTGCGCAGGTGATGAGCCGCACGGCTGCACAGCCTCTAAGTTCAGAGGACCAGGGATCATAAAGCAATTATAATAATTCCTCCATTTCATATTTTAAGAGACTTTAAAAACAGGAATTGTAAAAATGAACAATTAATCATCAATAAATACTTCAGATTTAAAGATGGATTTACAAACTCTCATTAAATAAACCATTTATAAACATTTATTTAGTCGTGAATCAAAACTATTTGAAAAGACACTTGAACAATGGGAATATCTTCCTGGATTCTCTTCAATTTCCTTTTTCCAGCTGCTTTTCCTGTTAGCTCATCGATTAGCTTAGCCATTTAGCCTCTCTGTGACACTGGTTCTTCAGTACTGGTAAAACCCACTGGTCAGCTCTCCAACCAATCATAGCCAAGTAGTATTGTCTTGATTATAAATCTATAAACCATTAATTAATGTGTTCATAAATCGTTTATTTAAGAGTTTGTAAATCCATTTTCAAACTTTCAGTATTTATTGATGATTAATCGTTTATTTATAAATTCTTTTTACAATTCCTGTCTTTTAAAACGGTCCTGTCTGTGTCTGCAGGTCCAGCTCTGTCGGCCGCCGTCTCCTCCTCTCTCTCCCAGAACATCGCAGACGTGGTCGGACAGGGAGGAGCTGCTCCTCTCACCTCCCTGCAGATCCACTTCATCCAGAACATGATCCACGAAACCCTGGAGGACTTCAGGTCTGTCCCTGACCTTTGACCTCAGTTATACCTGTTGTTGTTTTCAGGGTCCACACGGGCCTCATGATCCTGATGTTTTCCCTCCTCCTCCTCTCAGGGACACCTGTCACAGAGACATCGTCAACCTCCAGGTGGAGATGGTCCGACAGTTTTACATCCAGCTGGTACGTTTCATCTCTGGATTTAAGTGGTTTCATCTTCATCTTCACCTTTTTTCTACATCTTTATTGAACTTTTTGGGCCAAACAATGTAAAAGAAGGAAATAAATAAAAATAAACAGTCCAGGCTCAGACTGTATTGAAACATCATATCAGAAGTCAGTGGTAGATCACCTGTAATAAACTAAGAGGAAACAAACCAGGTGACTGAGATCTCAGGTTAGGACTTACCTCCTGTGAAGTTACCATGGTAACCTGGTCCCTGCAGCAGCTCAGTAATCTGTTATTGTTGTGTTTTGTGTGTTTGGACTCAACATGAATGTGTCTGTATTGAACAAGTATAAATATTCAGCGGTGGAGCGTCCAGACGTCTGGAAGCGTCTCTGTGTCTCAGGTTCACGTGAACAGTGACGTGGCGACAGGAAACTAACCCTCATGTTGTCTGACGTGTTTCAGAACGAGATCCACGGTCTGATCGAGAAATACTCTGTGAACGAGTCTCTGGTGGAGGAGATCGAGAAGCTGAGGGAGGAGAACCGCAGACTGAAGACCAACTACTGACCTCTGACCTGCGCCCTGCGCCCTGAGTTCAGCCTGACAGGCAGCAGCTGCTCCAGACTGTGTGGACGTTACAGATGTCTCTGCTCAGGGCGGGAAACTGTTGACGCTGCTGCCTGCTGGGAGCTGGAGTCTTCCTCCTCTCCTCATCACCACCTCTGACTGAAACACCAGCAGTGCCTCGGCCTCCTGATGCTGACGGCGACGCAGCATCACAGACCAGAGTGAAGCCGACGTGTGTGTTTGTAGATGGAAACAGAATATTGATGAATCTTGTAATTTAAATATAAATATATAATTTCACCGCCTGTCAGACTGAGAACAGGGTTTAGTGGTTTACATCTTTGTGTCTGTATCATGTTTTTATGAACAAACGTTTTGTCTGAAGAATAAAAAGATTCATGTTAAAATGAGATGAGGATTCGTTTAGTTTTCTTTTTTAATTGTTAATGAGCTACAATATAAACAGCTGATTAATGTTTTATTCTCATGTTTGTTTACACCTGTGTGTCACCTAATTAAATCAGTAGAACAGGAAGTGACACTGATGAAATGAAGCTGTGATTAAGTTGTAAGTTATACCTGTAACATGTCAACTTATTGTTGTGACAGCTTTTAGAGTTTAAGCATCGACACAGTTTAAATCCGGCTGTCAGATTCAGGAAACATTTATTTCACTTATTTTTCTCCACATTTGAACCACTGGATGAACCACTGGACTAGATTTACTGAAGCACAAAAAGGACGATTTCACTTTTTTCTGACTGTTCCAAACTGCTTCACTAAAAGGTGATTTCCTGCTTCACATGTGACCAATAAAATATAAAACATTTTGTTTTCTCTTCAGTTGAGCCTGTAAAATATAAAACTTTAATTTAATCTTTTAGAGCAGAATTTCCATAAACAGAAAAATACATTCAGAAAACCTCAAAGTGTTTTGCATTTGTGCGCATGCGCTCGGCATTTCCGCTTCGTCTCGGGGGGTTATTATCTCTGTCTGCGTGCTACTCTTTGGTTGTTTACTTGTCAGCTGTCTATACAACCGAACACGTTATAAAAGTGTTTTAAAAAATAAAACTCATCATAAAACTGCTGCTGACGTCACTACTGAGGTATCGACGAAACAAAGGAAGAAGCCGACAAAAACCGGAACTCACCTGTTTGTCGATTTCAGCAGATTTAAGTGAGTTATTGTGAAGTTAGCTGAGTTAGCTACGTCAAAGCTAAGTGACGCTGAGTGTCCACCAGACTGCACTTTGTTCCAGGGAAAGTTCAGGAGCAGCAGAGATCACCTGGACAGGTAACACGGCTATAACTGTCTACATGTTGGATTAGTTCTGATTCAGCCTCGTTTCATCGTATATCAACAACGTGACGTAACAACGTTAAGGCGTTAGCTCACCTGTCTGTCAACTGTCAGTTTAGTTTGTCATTATTTGTTCAGGCTGAAATTTAAAACGCGATAGCTTCATTTGAGAAGAGCTGACGTGTCATAAATGAATAATAAATAAAAACATTCAGAACATCTGAATATATACAATAAAATAAAGTGTATTTAATTAAATTGTTTATTCTGTCTATTAACAAACTGACCGTTTAGTTTAGTTTTTTCTTGATTTATATACGTTGATGTTTTTTATCATTCTGTCAAACGACCTTAAACCTTTGTGTCTAAAATACATTAGAATTAAAGCCTGAAAACTAATTCTGTTTTAGTTTCACAAATTATATTTTATCATAAACATTTAATCTGTTTATCTTTTAGTGATCTGAGAAGGTCAAAGGTCAAAGAAGAGACTCTTCAAATGTTGATGTTCTGTTACTTTTTATTTAGTCAACAAACAGAAGAACAAGACATTGTTTTTCAGTTTGACTGCCCCTCATCCCACCCTTCACCCCCCCAATCCTCCTGGACCATGGCGAACCCTCTGAGAGCTGAAGTGGTTCGACTCTATAAAAATGTGAGTCTGTGTGTTTTGAAAGTCTGATCAGTGTTTGTGCAGAAACACCTGGTGTGTGTTTCAACTCCATTCTGAAACTTCTCATGCAAATACATGTATTCTATCATGCATACATACATATATATATAAATACAGTTATAAATGTGCATACATACATATATATATATATATATATCATAGACACATGCAGGCATTCATACATGAAAATACATGTGTATGTATGTGTACGCCTTACTTGACTATACTTTTTTATGCCTTACTATACTATAAAATGTGTATGAAATTTTATGCCATAGTATGCTATGATGTCTTTATACCTTATATTATTATGATATTTTTATCCCTTACTATGACGTTTTTATGCCTTCTATACAATGATTTTTTTTTGATGAAATTTTATGCCTTACTTTATTTTTTAATGCCTTACTATACTATTAAGTTTTTCTGAAATTTAATGCCTTACTATACTATTATGTTTTTCTGAAATTTTATACCTTACTATGACGTTTTTATGCATATACTATTAAGTTTTTATGAATTTTAATGCCTTACTATACTATGACGTTTTTCTGAAGTTTTATGCCGTACTGTGCTATCAAATTTTAATGAAATTTTATGCCTTAGTATGCTATGACGTTTTTATTCCTTACTATACCATTTCGATTTTATGCCTTACTATACTATTAAGTTTTTATGAAATTAAATGCCTTACTATACTATGACGTTTTTCTGAAATTTTATGCCTTACTGTTCGATGACATTTTTTTGAAATTTTATGCTTTACAATACTATGATGTTTTTATGCCTTACTATACTATGACGTTTTTATGGAATTTAATGCCTTACTGTACAATGACGTTTTTTTTTTAATTTTATGTTTTACATTACTATGACATTTTTATGCCTTACTATAATATGTTTTTATGCCTTACTATACTATTAAGTTCTTATGAAATTTTAAACCTTACTATACCATTACGTTTTTATGCCTGATTATACAATGATGTTTTTTAAATGAAATTTTATGCCTTACTTTACTATGATATTTTTATGAAATTTGATATCTTACTATGTTTTTATGAAATTTTATACCATACTATGATGTTTTATGCCTGTACTATTGTTTATGAAATTTAATGCCTCACTATACTATGACGTTTTTCTGAAATTTTATGCTTTTCTATACTATAATGTTTTAATGCCTTACTATATTGTAACATTTTTATGAAATTTTATGCCTTACTGTACTATCAAATTTTAATAAAATTTTATGCCTTAGAATGTATTTTTATGAAATTTTATATCTTACGATACCATTACGTTTTTATGCCTTACTATACTATGACATTTTTATTAAATTTGATACCTTACTATGTTTTTAGGAAATTTTATACCTTACTATGACGTTTTTAGGAAATTTTATGCCTAACTATACTATGACGTTTGTTTAATGAAATTTTATACCTTGCTATTACGTTTTTATGCCTTACTAAACAATGACGTTTTTATGAAATTTTATGCCTAACTATACTGTGACATTTTTATGAAGTTTTATGCTATACAGTACTATCAAATTTTAATGAAATTTTATGCCTTACTATACCATTTCGTTTTTATGCCTTACTATACTATGACGTTTTTATGAAATTTTATGCCTTACCATACTATTAAGTTTTTATGAAATTTAATGCCTTACTATAATATGACGTTTTTCTGAAATTTTATGACTTACTATACTATGACGTTTTTATGAAATTTTATGCCTTACTATATGATGACATTTTTTTGAAATTTTATGCTTTACAATACTATGATGTTTTTATGCCTTACTATACCATTTCGTTTTTATGCCTTACTATATTATGACGTTTTTATGAAATTTAATGCCGTACTGTACGATGACCTTTTTTTTTTAATTTTATGCTTTACATTACTATGATGTTTTTATGCCTTACTATAACATTATGTTTTTATGCCTTACTATATGTTTTTATGCCTTACTACACTATTAAGTTTTTATGAAATTTAATGCCTTACTATACTATGATGTTTTTATGCCTGATTATACAATGATTTTTTTTAAATGAAATTTTATGCCTTTCTTTACTATGACATTTTTATGAAATTTGATATCTTACTATGTTTTTATGAAATTTTATACCATACTATGATGTTTTTATGCCTATACTATTTTTCATGAAATTTAATGCTTCACTATACTATGACGTTTTTCTGAAATTTTATGCCTTACTTTACAATGACGTTTTTTTTTAATTTTATGCTTTTCTATACTATGATGTTTTGATGCCTTACTATATTGTGACATTTTTATGAAATTTTATGCCTTACTGTACTATCAAATTTTAATGAAATTTTATGCCTTAGCATGTTTTCTTATGAAATTTTATAACTTTCTATACCATTACGTTTTTATGCCTTACTATACAATGATTTTTTTTGAATTAAATTTTATGCCTTACTATACTATGACATTTTTATGAAATTTGATACCTTACTTTGATGTTTTTATGCCTCACTATACTATTAAGTTTTTATGAAATTTAATGCCTTACTATACTATGACATTTTTATGCCTTACTATACAATGATTTTTTTAAAGGACATTTTATACCTTAAGTTACTATTACGTTTTTATGAAATTTTATGCCTTACTATACTATGACATTTTTATCAAATTTGATACCTTACTATGTTTTTATGATTTTTTTTTTTTTTTAATTTTATGCTTTACTATACTGTGAAATTTTTATGCCTTACTATACTATGACATTTTTATCAAATTTTTATCAACTTTGAAAACTATGTTTTTATGAAATTTTATACCTTACTATGACGTTTTTATGCCTTACTATACTGTTACGTTTTATTGAAATTTTATACCTTACTATACTATTAAGTTTTTATGAAATTTAATGCCTTACTAGACAATGATTTTTTAATGACTTACTATACTATGACATTTTTATGCCTTACTATACTATGATTTTGTTCATGAAATTTTATACCTTACTATACCATTACGTTTTTATGCCTTACTATAATATGACCTATACATTTTCATAAAAACATCCTAGTATAGTAAGGCATAAATTTTCATAAAAATGTCATAATATATTAAAAGATAAACTTTCATAAAAACGTCATAATAAGGTATAAAATTTCATAAAAACATAGTAAGGTATCAAATTTGATAAAAAATGTCATAGTATAGTAAGGCATAAAAATGTCATAGTATAGGAAGGCATAACATTTCATAAAAATGGCATAGTATAATAAGGCATAAAATTTCATAGAAACATAGTAAAGTATCAAATTTAATAAAAATGTCATAGTATAGTAGGGCATAAAATTAAATAAAAATGTCATATTATAGTAAAGTATAAATTTTCATAAAAATGTCATAGTATAGCAAGGAATAAAATGTCATAAAAACGTCATAGTAAAGTAAGGCATTAAAATATCATAGTATAGTAAGGCATAGAATTTCATAAAAACGTCAGTATAGTAACGCATGAAATTAAAAAAAAACTTCATAGTATAGTAAGGCATAAAATTTCATAAAAACGTCATAGTATAGTAAGGCATAAAATTTCATAAAAACGTAATAGTAACGTAAGGCATAAAATTTCATTTTAAAAAAATCATTGTAAAGTAAGGCATAAAAACATTATAGTATAGTAACGCATAAAATTAAATAAAAATGTCATAGTATAGCAAGGCATAAAATTTCGTAAAAATGTAACAGTAACATAAAGCATAAAATTTCATTTGAAAAAAATCATTGTATGGTAAGGCATAAAAATGTCATAGTATAGTAAGGTATAAATTTTCATAAAAATGTCATAGTATAGTAAGGCATAACATTTCACAAAAATGTCAGAGCATAGCAAGGAATTAAATTTCGTAAAAATGTCATAGTAAAGTAAGGCATAAAAATGTCATAGTATAGTAAGGCATAAAAATGTCATAGTATAGTAAGGCATAAAAATGTCATATTATAGTAAGGCATAAAATTTCTTAAAAACATAGTAAGGTATCAAATTTAATAAAAATGTCATAGTATAGTAAGGCATAAAAATGTCCTAGTATAGTAAGGTATAAAAATGTCATAGTATAGTAAGGCATAAAATTTCATAAAAATATAGTATAGTAAGGCATAAATTTTCTTAAAAACGGCATAGTGAAGTAAGTCATAAAATTTCATAAAAATATAGAAAGCTATCAAATTTAATTCATGAAAGCAATCATAGTAAAGTAAGGCATAAAAATGTCATAGTATACTAAGTAATTAAAAAATCATTGTCTAGTACAACTTTAATGCCACTAGTTGTCTAGTGGCATTAAAGTTCATAAAAACTTAATAGTATAGTAAGGTATAAAATTTCAATAAAACGTAACAGTATAGTAAGGCATAAAAATGTCATAGTATACTAAGTAATTAAAAAATCATTGTCTAGTATAACTTTATAAATCATTGTCTAGTACAACTTTAATGCCACTAGTTGTCTAGTGTCCATAAAAATTTCATTGTATAGTAAGGCACAATATTTCATAAAAACGTCATAGTAAGGCATAAAAATGTCATAGTATCGTAAGGCATAAAATTTCATAAAAACATAGTAAGGTATCAAATTTAATAAAAATGTTATAGTATAGTAAGGCATAAAAATGTCCTAGTATAGTAAGGCATAAAAATGTCATAGTATAGTAAGGTATAAATTTTCATAAAAATCTCATTGTATAGTAAGGCATAAAATTTCATAAAAACACAGTAAGGTATCAAATTTCATAAAAATGTCATAGTATAGTAAGGCATACAATTTCATAAAAACATAGTAGGTTATCAAATTCAATAAAAATGTCATAGTATAGTAAGGCATAAAATTTCATAAAAATGTAATAGTAACTTAAGGCATAAAATTTCATTAAAAAAAATCATTGTATAGTGAGGAATAAAAATGTCATAGTAAGTAAGGCATAAAATTAAATAAAAATGTCATAGTATAGTAAAGTATAAATTTTCATAAAAATGTCATTGTATAGTAAGGAATAAAATTTCATAAAAACGTCATAGTATAGCAAGGAATAAAATTTCATGAAAACGTCATAATAAAGTAAGGCATAAAAATGTCATAGTATAGTAAGGTATAAATTTTCATAAAAATGTCATTGTATAGTAAGGCATAACATTTCATAAAAATGTCATAGCATAGCAAGGAATAAAATTTCATAAAAAAGTCATAGTATTGTAAGGCATAAAATTTCATAAAAACGGCATAGTATAGTAAGGCATAAAATTTCATAAAAATGTAATAGTAACATAAGGCATAAAATTTCATTTTAAAAAATCATTGTATAGTAAGGCATAAAAATGTCATAGTATAGTAAGGTATAAATTTTCATGAAAATGTCATTGTATAGTAAGGCATAACATTTCATAAAAATGTCATAGTATAGCAAGGAATAAAATTTCATAAAAACGTCATAGTAAAGTAAGGCATAAAAATGTAACAGTAACATAAGGCATAAAATTTCATTTAAAAGAAATCATTATATAGTAAGGCATAAAATTAAATAAAAATGTCATAGTAAAGTAAAGTATAAATTTTCATAAAAATGTCATAGTATAGTAAGGCATAAAATTTCATAAAAATATCATAGTAAAGTAAGGCATAAAATTTCATAAAAACATAGTAAGTCATCAAATTTAATAAAAATGTCATAGTATAGTAAGGCATAAAAATGTCCTAGTATAGTAAGGCATAAAAATGTCATAGTATAGTAAGGTATAAATTTTCATAAAAATCTCATTGTATAGTAAGGCATAAAATTTCATAAAAACACAGTAAGGTATCAAATTTCATAAAAATGTCATAGTATAGTAAGGCATACAATTTCATAAAAACATAGTAGGTTATCAAATTCAATAAAAATGTCATAGTATAGTAAGGCATAAAATTTCATAAAAATGTAATAGTAACTTAAGGCATAAAATTTCATTTAAATGAAATCATTGTATAGTAAGGAATAAAAATGTCATAGTAAGTAAGGCATAAAATTAAATAAAAATGTCATAGTATAGTAAAGTATAAATTTTCATAAAAATGTCATTGTATAGTAAGGAATAAAATTTCATAAAAACGTCATAGTATAGCAAGGAATAAAATTTCATGAAAACGTCATAATAAAGTAAGGCATAAAAATGTCATAGTATAGTAAGGTATAAATTTTCATAAAAATGTCATTGTATAGTAAGGCATAACATTTCATAAAAATGTCATAGCATAGCAAGGAATAAAATTTCATAAAAAAGTCATAGTATTGTAAGGCATAAAATTTCATAAAAACGGCATAGTATAGTAAGGCATAAAATTTCATAAAATCATAGTAAGGTATCAAATTTAATAAAAATGTTATAGTATAGTAAGGCATAAAAATGTCCTAGTATAGTAAGGCATAAAAATGTCATAGTATAGTAAGGCATAAAATTTTATAAAAATATCATAGTATAGTAAGGCATAAAATTTCATAAAAACATAGTAAGGTTTCAGATTTAATAAAAATGTCATAGTATAGTAAGGCATAAAAATGTCATAGTATAGTAAGGTATAAAATTTCATAAAAACATAGTAAGGTATCAAATTTAATGAAAATGTCATAGTATAGTAAGGCATAAAAATGCCCTAATGTAGTAAGGCATAAAAATGTCATTGTATTGTAAGGCATAACATTTCATACAAATATCATAGTAAAGTAAGGCATAAAATTTCATAAAAACATAGTAAGTTATCAAATTTAATAAAAATGTCATAGTATAGTAAGGCATAAAAATGTCATAGTATAATAAGGCATAAAATTTCATAAAAATATCATAGTATAGTAAGACATAAAATTTCATAAAAACATAGTAAGGTATCAAATTTAATAAAAATGTCATATTATAGTAAGGCATAAAAAATGTCCTAGTATAGTAAGGCATAAAAATGTCATAGTATAGTAAGGCATAAAATTAAATAAAAATGTCATAGTAAAGTAAAGTATAAATTTTCGAAAAATGTCATAGTATAGTAAGGCATAAAATTTCAGAAAAATATCATAGTAAAGTAAGGCATAAAATTTCATAAAAACATAGTAAGTTATCAAATTTAATAAAAATGTCATAGTATAGTAAGGCATAAAAATGTCATAGTATAATAAGGCATAAAATTTCACAAAAATATCATAGTATAGTAAGGCATAAAATTTCATAAAAACATAGTAAGGTATCAAATTTAATAAAAATGTTATAGTATAGTAAGGCATAAAAATGTCCTAGTATAGTAAGGCATAAAAATGTCATAGTATAGTAAGGCATAGAATTTCATAAAAACGTCAGTATAGTAAGGCATAAAATAAAAAAAAACTTCATAGTATAGTAAGGCATAAAATTTCATAAAAACATAGTAAGGTCTCAAATTTAACAAAAATGTCATAGTATAGTAAGGCATAAAATTTCATAAAAATGTAATAGTAACATAAGGCATAAAATTTCATATTAAAAAATCATTGTATAGTAAGGCATAAAAATGTCATAGTATAGTAAGGTATAAATTTTCATGAAAATGTCATTGTATAGCAAGGAATAAAATTTCATAAAAACATCATAGTAAAGTAAGGCATAAAAATGTCATAGTATAGTAAGGCATAAAATTTCATAAAAACATAGTAAGGTATCAAATATAATAAAAGTGTCATAGTATAGTAAGGCATAAAATTTCATAAAAATGTAATAGTAACGTAAGGCATAAAATTTCATTTAAAAAAAATCATTGTATAGTGAGGCATAAAAACATTATAGTATAGTAAGGCATAAAATTAAATAAAAATGTCATAGCATAGTCAGACATAAAATCATCACAAAACAACATAGTTTAGCAAGGCATAAAATTTTATAAAAACAACATAGTATAAAAGGTATAAAATTTCATATAAACCTCATAGCATAGTCAGACATAAAAACGTCAAAAATCATCATAGCTTAGTCAGACATAAGCATGTCATAAAATGTCATAGTATAGTAAAGTATTACATTTTATGGAAACGTCATAGTACAGTTAAGTATAACATTTCTTAAAAATAGTATAGTATAGTAAGGTTTAAAATTTCATTAAAATGTCATACTAGAATAAGGCATAAAAATGTCTAGTATAGTAGATACTCATAAATGTATGTATGTACTTATATACATATATGCACACATGTGCCCACAGCACCATCTGATTGGTTCTGCTAGTCATTTCAACTTAGCAGTTAGAGGTGGCTTCTCTCTCCCTCTGATCAGCAGATGAAGTTGTTCACTTGTTCATCAGTTATCTAAATGGTCCATGTGTCAAATCAAACATTTTAACAACACAGAAGCTGAAATTTAGTTCACTGTAAAAAATGAAACATGAACACTTACAAATTAAAAGTCCTGCTGAATTTGAACAATCACACAGGACAGGCCAAGAACCTCATAAGCATAAAAATAATTTTAATGATTAAAAGTAATATTTAATACAGAACTGTGAATTTAACGTCCTCATAGTCAAAAACATAGGATTCAATTGTAAAATCATTTAAATGAGTAGGTAAAACGTCTCCTATGCTAGAAATGGCAGCCATCTTGGAAAATGGCGGCCTTTTGAAATTCCAAGTGGCTAATGGGATTTTTTTAAATGAATGGCCTCAGGGGGAAAAACAAACCAGTTTTGATTCTTGTATCCACATTTGAAAAATGATGACAGTGATCTGCTGTTAAACATTCTCCTCTTCGTCCTCCTCAGCTCCTCTACCTCGGTCGGGAGTACCCCAAAGGAGGCGAGTACTTCAGAGACCGACTGAGAGCGGCGTTCACCAAGAACAAGTCAGTCCAGGACCCGGAGCAGATCAAGGAGATGATCACTCGTGGGGAGTACGTGGCCCGAGAGCTGGAGGCGCTCTACTACCTGAGGAAGTACAGAGCGCTGAAGAAACGCTACTATGAGGAATAAACAGCTGCTGCAGAGACTCAGGACAGACTCCACCCACTGTAACCATCTGTGTTTATCACCATCAGCTGCCAGAAAAAACAAGACACATACAAAATATAAAGAGTCTTTGTTTATTTCAGGCTCATTAAAAACTGGAATGACAGAACAACAGAAATGAGCAGCAGCTTCGAGGTTTTAATGTTTTATTCCTGTCGAGTTCATTCAGCTCTGAGAGAAAACACTTAAATAAAGTCATAAAAAAGACGAGTTGATGAGTTCTCCTTCATCCCTCCTGGCAGGAAGAGAGACCACCAACCCGTCAGCTCCCGGTACAAAACAGTAGAAACAGGGGTCAGAGGTCAGAGGGTTGGGGGGGCGAGGGAGTCACCGTCAGCCAGGTTGGCTCTGCAGATCGGACAGGTGGTGTTATCCTGTCGGGGGGGAGACGGTTTTAATCAGACAAGAGTAATCAATGTGGTTATGGATTCATCAGACATTGACAGATGTTTCATCCCATTAACGAGCTTTTTGTGATTCATCAGCAGCTGCAGCTCAGAGATAAACCACTCAACACGTCACAGTTTCACGTCCTCAAACAACTGGATTATCAGATCAACTGTGTAAAAATGATCTGAAAATCAATCGATCAATTTACTGTCACAAAAAATCCTCTCAGCTGAGGAGCCGGATCTTTATTTTGTTTATAAAAATCAAACAATGTATCGATTATCAAAACAGGTGACGAGTTCAGCTCCAAACTTCACTACAGCCAAAACTGATGAACTAATTATATTTAACAGCAGATTATTAATATTTACTCCATTAATTGTTTTGGCTTTAATTGTCTTGGGAAAAAAAGCACTCAACAATTAATCAATTATCTGAACAGCTGCTGATTAATCGACTAATCGCTGCAGCTGCAGCTCCGACCCAGCTTCATGCTGCTTGTTCACTCTCACCTGTATTACATCAGTACGGAGCAGATATCATTACTAATTGATTAATTACACAGTCAAAGTTCAGTTGATTATTAATTCTTTTTTTCGTTGACCCTGGAATCAGAAACTAGATTCAGAATGTGAGGCGTTACCTTCAACCACCTGTCAATACACTGGACGTGGTAGTCATGGAAACACGGCAACATCCTCAGCTTCTCCCCATCAGTGTAGTCACAGAAACAGATCTGACACCTGTCAATCAATCCCAGGACAAAAATCAGTCGCCAGAGTCAGACACAGTTTGAATCATTAAGAGTCTGAAATACTGAAGGTCAGGTCAGACCAGGTCCAGACCGGCTGGTGGACTCACTGGGTGTTCCCGGCGCCGTTGGCAGACTTGAACGTTTTGGTGGGAAACCTCTGGATTTCCCTCCGAGTCAACTTCTTGGACACGACGGCACCTTGACGCTCCTCGAACTCCAGAAGAGCCTGAAACACGAGCAGACGACAGGACGAGTCTGTAGAGGGTTACCTGAGGTTAATATACATCAAAGTCCTCCGTCGTCATGGTTACAAGCAGCCTGCGGTGGGGAATCACGAGACCCCTTCACCGGTAATGTGTCAGTGACTGTAACTGCAAACTCGTCATCATTAAAACATTTGTATTGAACTTATTTTATTGTTTTTATTTTTTGGCGTTAACTAATAATCTCATTAAGAAAAAGAACCATAAACAACTTTGTGATCAATAAAGTTCATCTGATCATGGACAATGACACCTTCAGGGAGGAGGAGGAGGAGGAGGAGGAGGAGGAGGAGTCAAGAATGGAAAATGAATGTCTCAGTATCAGGTACAAACTAGATTCTGACGTGAGATTTTTTTCTACTAATCGTCAAAACCTGAAGTGATAAATAATTGAATAATTATTAATAAATGCACAAGTGATTAATTGACAAATTCATTTTTAACCTGTTTCCAGACCCATCAATAAAAAGCTTCCTGTTCTTCGGCCGCTCTGATCACAGTCATGAAGCTGCTCTCTTCTGAGAGTCAGACACTGAACTGAGGTGAAGTGGATAAAGATGCTGCCTGTGGAAGTGTCTCTCGTCTTCCTCACCTCGTAGTCGTTCCCCTGAGGGTCCTCTGAGAAGCAGGGCATGGCGTTCCCCCTTCTGCCCCGCCCACGTCTTCTGCGTTGACCAATCTGATCTGAAAAAAAACCCCAAAAAAACAGTAAAGACCAGGGGCACCATCAAATCCTCCACCTGCTCTCTAGAGGCTCTGTGGCTTCACTGAGCCACATGGATGGATCGGTGGAGTTTTAGGATCCTGATAACACTGTTTACTGTAGTATGAATCCACCTGCTGTTACCACGGTAACCACGAGTGACAACCAGGACCATAACACCGAAGATCTAGGAGACCATCATTAAATCAGATAAAAGAACACGCTCAGTGAGTGTCATCGTACCGTCTTCAAAGGTCGGAGGAGAGACCGCAGCCAGAACCTGAGACATCCAGCTGTGCTCCAGGTGAGGATGATACTGCAGAGGACAAGTCACTGTGGTCAACACTAACACACACACATGTACACAGACAGACGACATGCTTCACCTTCAGTCTCTCCTGTAGTTTGGCTGAAAGAATCAGGTTAAAATACTTAAATATAATACGACTGGATCATTATTACTGTGTCTCCCTGATCATATCTGATGTTAGATTCAATCTGTCTCTGAATTTTATTTACACATTTAGAAAATCACTATTATTATTAATATTATTGTAAATTTTATTATTATTGTATAAAAACATTTCTCTCCAGACACAGTGTTACTCAGTTGTTACTCCACATCACCGGAACTACTTTCTCCTGAAAAATATCATTGTTTTCATTTTTCAAAGCTCTCAGTAAACAGCTGATCTCTGTAGTTTCAAACAAATAGGAGGAAATACAGCTTTTGTTTGGGACTATTTTCAGTGGCGGATGAATCCACATTTGGGGCAGCAGGATGGTGTGTGTGGGACTGAGTCAACACAAACTACAGTGTGTGTGTTGAGTGTTTAGAGACACAGTCTGTCTCACCCTGTGGTGGCTCTGCTGATGAAGATGATAGTGAAGCTGATGATGATGATGGTGGTGGTGTCGGCTGTGTGACTCCGCCTCCTCCTGGTCAAACTGGGCCTGAAAGATAAAAACAGGATCATCTGCAGTGAGGCCGCTCTGCACAGGTGAGGCGTCAGAGTGTGACTCTGCAGGTGAAGCCTCTCACCTGCAGGCTCCAGGCCAACGCCTCGTCTTCCTCCATCTGTGCAGAGAGAACCACGGCATCCTCATCGTCACTGATGACGATCTCCTCCGCCGCCGCCGCCACTGCAGGAGAAACAAGACATCACAACTAAAGAACTGAAACAGCTGTGGGCGGGAAACTTACTCTCTAACTGGAATTCAGTTGTTTCCTTTAATTCAGACTAAAGCTGATTAAAGTTTTAGTTATAAAGATTTACTTTTACAACAAAAACCTCAGCACATCAAACTACAGTATCAGCATTAATACTAATGACAGTTCGAAATGTACGAAGAAAAACAAATAAATAATTATAATGAAAACATATTGAAACTTTTGCCCCTTTCTTTCCTTAAGTAAAAATAAAAGCTACAAAATATGAAAATAAATAAAATAGGGCGTCGTGTGGCGCAGTGGTCTAAGCAGGCGTCCCATGTGTAGAGGCCACAGTCCTCGCTGCAGTCGGCCCCGGTTCGAGTCCTGCATCGGACGGCCTTTGCTGCATGTCATTCCCCCTCTCTGCCTCCCCCCTTCCTGTCTCTCTACTGCACTGTCAATAAAGGCATAAAAAGCCCAAAAAATATACTTAAAAAAAAAGAAAGAAAATAATTAATTATTTAAATAAGATTAAAAATCTAAAATAAATTTTAAAAAATAGATGAAAAATAAAAATATTCAAATAAGCCACTGTAGCGTTTAAAAAGTTCTGATGAGTTCACAACTTCACAATTTATAAAGTTATAGTAATTAGACAAATTAACATCAACCAAAATGTAATTTAATTTAACCAAGTGTTACAGTATGAAAACCAGGAGGGAGCATATTTCCTTAAATTATTATAGTAGTTATAATAATATAATATATAATATAAGTAGTCATAATGATATAATTAATAAAATTAAATTAAATAAATTAAAATACAACTTGGCTTCAGAAGAGATGTAAACATTTATACTGTGTCCTCACCTGTTGTGTTTCCTTCGCCGTTCAGCCATCTCCTCTCCTCTGCTGTCAGGAAGGACAGAGAGTCAGAGCGGGGGGGCGGCGGCGATGAGGGCGAAGCTGAAGCCGTCATCGGACTTCGCCTCCTCCCCTGGTTAAGACAAGCAGGACTGGTTTCTTCTGTGGAGCCCGCCACAGTCGAAGCCACTTCTTCCACATCCTCCGCTGAGACTGGAGTGAGGTAGGAGGAGGAGGACGAGGAAGAGGAGGAGGAGGAGGAGGATGATGATGAGGAGGAACAGGATGCAGTTGACAGTGGGGTTTGCAGCCAGCTGCCCAGAGGGAGAGATCTCAGAGATGAAGCGGGAACAAAACCGACACTCTGCTCTCCCATCGCTGCCGCCAGACGCCTGCGTTTGGATTTACATGAGAAACCTCGTTCACTGCTGGTGGGACGTTCTGGTCGCTCCAGTGAACCCCCGGCCGCCACCTGAGGACAGAAAACCACAGCAGTCGACCTCTGCCTGGAGAATAAGATGACCAACATCTGTCATGACTGTGCTGCAGCTCGGTGACTTACAGAGCTGAAATGTTCCTCTGTGGTCCGACCGTGTCTCCTCCGTTTACTGAGCTGCGGACTGAACCAAACAAACAGGTTTAAACAGTTTGTTCGGCCAAAGAAATCCTGTCACTGATATTAGACCAAGAGTAGTTTATTCAGTATGAACTTTAGAAAGACAGATGTCATGGCAGAGCTGCTGCATTGGACTGATTCTGGAAGCAGATGTGCTGCAGTCAGTAAAGAAAGTGATCATCAAACAATAAATGAAGGAATATCGTTAAAAAGAATGGAGTTCATCCTCCAGTAGAGTTCAGAGACTAGAAGCTTTGAAGTTGTTCATGTCAGTCAGACTTTATAAATGACCAAGTAATAACTAAAAACAATAAAAAATAAGACAATAACAACAACAGGAACTGAGGAAACGTTGAAGACTGGAGCAAAGGGAACAATAGAGTGATAATGATCAAACAATAAAAGCTAAAACAGAAATGTATTAAAGTAAGTAGAACCAGAAATAAAAAGTAGGATAATAAAAATAAAAAGAACAAATGGTAAAGATAAAATAATAAAATCTTAAAAGAGAGGAGATATTTGGAAGAGAGTAAAATGAGAAATAAAAGTAGAAATAAAATAAATAACAGAAATAAAAGTAGAGTATTAAAAGGAAAACAATCCAGAAAATAAACATGGTATAAAGGGACAAACTAGTAAAACAGCTTAAAATATACAAATAAGTAGAAAGATAAATAAATAAAATATAATTCAATTAACAGCCAGACTAGAAAGGTAGGTCTAGAGTTTGCTTTTAAAAATATCAACACTTTCTGCTGCTGTTCATGGCGGAACAACACCTCTTGTCACCTGTCTGTACGTGGTCCACACAGAGGCGTGTTACCTTGGTGTTTCCGGGACGATGATGGACAGATCGTGGTACAGGAGGTCCGCGGGGTCGAGCAGGCAGCCTCGGTTCAGACCTCCGGGACTGTCCGGTTCAGACGAACAGGGGCTGGCTGCTACCGGCTCATCCATGGCTTCCTGGGGGCACTGTCACACACCTGCTCCCGACTCTACAGTCGCGTCAGAGCCGGTCTCATATCATCCAGGTAATGAGGAACACTCACCTGAAACACTGTGAATTACAGAACGAGTTAACGATGAAAACACCGCGCAGAAAAACGAGCTAACGTTACGGTTTCCACAGAGTAAAGTCTTCCATAAACTACTACAAAGCTTGAACTACTTAACTGACACGTATATAGACAATAATAATGAGGGGTCATGAGAATAAAAGCGGGAAAAACTGCACCAACTGATTTGTTTTGACGAAAAGACCAGTAGAAACAAACTGAGCGGCTCGTTTGTTAGCTTAATTAGCACAGACATGTAGCTAAAAGAGCTACAGTTCAAAGAAACACGACGATCAATCGATATAAAATCAATTAAACTTTTTTCGTACCACCAACAATAACATTATAAAAGGGATACGGGTGAACTTTACCTCTGTGATGTCGTCTTTTTACCGGCTCTTTAACGGACAGTCTGCGACGGAGAAGCCGCCAGTCACAACAGGAAGACGCTTCGTAACAACATCGGGGATTTCCGGTGTAGCACCGAAAAGTACCGAAAACTCCTCCTGTATTTACATTTGTTCTGTTTTAGTTTCAAGATGAGAAAATACATTAAACGCATTAGTGGCGGTGTGTGTGGCTCATAAAACAACACAATAAAATAAAATACAGAAAAGCAAAACAAAATATACGAAATTAAATGCATCCAGTACATTTCTACAGACACATAATGTGTGTGCAGATTTATATATAAAGGTTCATCTAAGGTCTCAAGTGAAAATCAAGACTTTTTAATACCAAATGTAATGCAATTTTGCAATTTACTTCCTAACATATTCCTAACAATATAATGTAGGGCTACAATCAGGAATTGTTTTAATTATCAGTTTATCTTTCTTCTTTTTTTCTGATTAATCAATTAATTGTTTAGTCAATAAAACATCAATAATCTGTGAGGTCAAAAGCCACAGATGTTCAGTTCACTGATATGAGTGATTGTTTCAGCTCTAATATAATTAATTAATCATTAAGCATGACCTGAGCCTGAAAAAGCAGATGAAAATGAATGGATGGATGAACCAATTAAAAATAACTAATGAATTAAGCTCAGAGGTCTGGAGCTACAATCACAAACAAAAACATTTCATAACTAGTGTAAGTGTATAAGTGTTTGATATAAAACATTTCAGATCTTTTTCAATAAAGTGAATTCACTGCTTTTTCCAGACCTGCTGATTCCCTCCCTCTCTATGCATCACTTTACACTGAGCACCATCAACATTACACAGTAATCTGTTTTGTATTATTTCACCTCACTAATGGAAAAAGCCTGTACTGGAACAACCAACTCAACATTTAGAGACACATGGTTTCATAAAAATGATGACAAGCACTTTAAGTCATTTCATACAAGATACATGTCTGATAGCTCCTGCTGTCCTTTACCGTACTAGACTTAATATATTAATATGAAAGTAATCTGTGTGGGCTCTAACGAGGCCTAAATTTATACTAAAACTAATGTCCTGAAGCAGGATGTTGATAATGAAATTACAGTGACCTGTTAATAAATAAGACTTTGCATCAGCACAAAAAGAACTTTATTTATTTTCTTGCTCATTCACAGACACTCAAGATGATTTTCCAGTAATTCTGCAGAGTGAAATTTTAACAGTCACTTTCATTGTGTTTGTCTCAGGTTGAGTGTCTCAGTTCATAAAAAGCATCTGCTCTAAATACGTATGTTTCTAATTTAACTCTGAACCTTGTTGGAGAGTTCATGAACTCTCACTGAGACAGAACATCTTCACACAGCGCCCACTAGAGGCTGATGATTGAACTTTACTCAGCTTTAAGACGAGAAGCAAACATTTGACCTTTTTATTTAAAAAATTGCTGAAATCACAAACTATTTATTCCAGAAAACGAAGGACCGAGTCTCTGCACGAACATGAACTAAATGAGGTTTACAGGAGGTACGTAACCATGACAACCCTGCAGGACTACAGCTATAACAACCACCAACACAGACTGCAGCCTTAACGTATGAACGAGCTCAATCGCCGTGGTAACGGCAGGTCAGAACAGCATGGACTGTAGCGACTTGCGGACGGTGGCCATCTCCTGCTGTTGCTGTGGAAACATGACAGACAACATGACAGACAACATGACAGACAACATAACAGACAACCCATCAGAATCATCTTGTAAAGCACTTCTCATAGTTTCTTATTATTTTCTTATTGAGGGGGTGTGTGCTTCACTCTCTACATTTATTCTGCTCAGGTGTGTTTCAGATGCTCCATATAGAAGTTCTGAGCAATGACTCAATATCAACAGCTGATATGATTTTTTTGTTTTTTTTTGTTTGTGCTGTAGCTTCATTTCACGTGATGAAAAATCTGAAAGAATCAAATAAAGTTACACATTTGAATATTTATGGTAAATTGATTAGATGCCCTGAGGCATTCAACAGCTTCAGTACAGACACTTTATTTACCGTCTACTTTGACTGCAAAATATTTATAATGGTTTGTACCATTACAACTTCACTGCACATCAGACGTCTGCGAAAGACTGAACTCACCGTGTCCATGAGGATCTTCTTCTGCAGCGTGGCCATCTCTTTCCTCAGCTCTTGTTGCGCCCCCTGCAGGAAAGCCTCATGGCCCTTCTCCATGTCCTCCATGTTCTGGAGGAAACAGGGACGACCTCACTTCAACTGCTCCATGAAACCAGTAAGGACTAATGGATTTCACTGATACTTTTCGGACTTTTCATGCTCTTACTAAGTAATTCCACTTCCTTTTATATGACATCTTTGCCAGCATATAACAATATGACTCATAATAATATAGTTATTACATTTTCCCCCTTTCACTGGGGGAAAATGTAATAAGAAATAAAATCAGAATAGAAACAGAATCTAAAATCAATAAGTATTTCTATTTTATGTATCGACATCCACATCAGAGCGAGTGAGCACAGTCACCTTCACAAACTGCTCGTACAGCTCTCTGACAGTCTTCAGCTTCTGGTTCTGCACGA